GGAAGGGGGGTGCAGGGGGGGGTGGCACACTGTGATTGTTTTGTTTCATACTGATCAAGTTCACAGCTACACAGGGTGCTCAGCTCAGGTGCCTGGGGCTGTGAACTCAGGGTGGCCCAGGCTCTGCTGCCAGCCTGGCCAGTCCACATGCCTCCCCAGTGTCCCTGGGCCCCACAGAGGTTTTCCTGCTCACCACATAGCCCAGACAGGTCTTGTACCCCTCCCTCATCCTGCTACTAAGACCCCAGATTTCTCAACACCCAGCTGGCTGTGTGACCTGGCTCTTGTTGCCCACTGTTCCGTGAACCTCCCAAACCCTCTCTCCACAGGATTGCCAGGCTACACGAGGCCACAGCAGCCCAGGTGCTGCCCTGCTCCTGCCAGGCCATCCCCATGGCTTTCCCTGAACGCAGAAGGCCCCTGACCCGCCCTGACCCCTCTCAGTGTCTGTGCCTGGAACTTGTTCCCGTCCCCACGCACTGCTCCTCCTGTGAGCCTCAGCTTGGGTGGATCTGTGTCTCTAGCCCCCGTGCTGGCCTGGAACATAAAGGATTGCAGAAGGCTCTGGGGCCAAGACCTCTGGGTCATTCACTGATGCCCAGTGTGAGAACACAGGGTACAAGGGGCTGCCTGTGCAGAGTGAGCCAACATGGGGTGCACGGGGCATTGTGGCACCCTGGTGCTCAGGCTCCTGGCAGTAACCTTCTGCAGAGCCCCTGCCCCAGGTCTGCTTTTCGGCACCTACCCAGGTTGACTGGCGGGGCTCCGAGGGAGCCGGACACAAGTTCTGGCGGCCTGGCTCGATGCCTGTCCCCAGCTGTCCTATCCTTGTCCTTGTGCTTCTTGGACTTCTTCTTGGACTTGCCGCGAGAGGAGCCACCGTGGGGCCTGCTGGGCTGGGCACAGTCCTTCAGCAGGGGCAGGCTAAGGCAGGAAGTGGGGGCTGGGGTGGCCATTTCCCCGTGATCACAGTCCCGGCCACTGTGGCCCAGGTCATTGCTGACATCAGCCAGAGGGTCGTGTGCCCTCGGAGGATCCAGCCGTGGGGGTAGGTGGGCATCTGTGCCCGCCAGGGGGCCAAGGGTGGGCAGTAGGGCCTCCCGACCATGGGGCACATTCAGCTTCCCGTTGGCGGCGGGCTGAGCTCTCTGGGTGAAGTGCGATATCCTTGGTTTCTTGTTGGCCAGGGGGTCAATGAAATCAGGAGGCTGAGGACGTTTCTGGGAAGAGAGGGAGATCATTTTCGAGGGGAGCCTGTGTCCGGAGCGGCTGGCCTCCCTTGGGCTTGGCAGCAACAGGCCAACCTGAGCTAAGCGAGCAGCAGTGCCCACCTGCAAGGCCTACTCCAGCCACACAGGGGCGCCCAGATACCAGTCAGGCCTTTGGTGCCCACCCCAAAGACACATGCAGAGGAAGGAAGGGCAGCTAGGTCACCAGAGTACTGGCCCAACCACCTCCAGAGACTGGACTAAAATG